GTGATGAGAAAATTCCTTTAAAACTGTAAACTATAAAAACAGATTTGGACTCGGGGAGGGGGTTGTCAGGAAAAATCCTGAATTTAGAGTTAACAGTTAACCTGACAAAGGGCATTTACAAAAATTCTCTAATGACACTAGTCTTACAAGGGGACTCACCTGAAAAGGGGAAACAAAATGAGAATGCCCACTGTTGTCTCTTTTATTCAGTGATACATGAAAAGTGCTTTTCATTAGAAAGGGAGGAGGAGAATGGAACTTGCCTGCTCGTCTGAGCCTAGAAAGTCCTCACACTGAAGGGTCCAGAGTAACAGCATGGACAACCAAGTCCACCCACTCCCATCCACTTCAACAGAAATGACAAAGTCTTTCAGAAACCCTGAAGTTCCTGTGAATAAAACTGACGAAAGACTTAAAAAAAAAAAATGAAAAGGTAAACCATCCAAAAGATGGGAGAGATCTAAAATCACAAACACATCTTTTCTCCCTAAATATCTCTAACTTCAATACAATTTAACCAAATCCTAATGGTTTTCACAAAATGTTCACAAAGGGAGTCCAAAATTGATATGAAACCAAAGGGGGAAACTTGCCCTACACTTAGTAATCGGGGAGTAACGGGGTGGGGGGTGCATCCAGCAATGTGATTTAAGTTAGCTTAAGATCACATGATGGATGCCTGAGAGACTTCACTGAAAAGTTACCAGCAATGTGGGAAAAACAAATTGTATTCCTATTTCAAACTATATACAACAGAACCTGTTGAATCAAGATTTTCCAGGTTTAGCGTAACTGTAAACTTCCATGGAAAATATAAGGAATCGGCTCTCTGGCCTTGGGGTGCAGCAAAACGAGACTCACAAAGCAAGGCTTAATAGAACGGATACATTTACGTAACAAAGGTCGAGAACTTAATTACAGTGAAACCAGCCAGGATGCGGAGAGGAGATGAGAGATTTGTAGCTCTTAACTGACAGGGGGCCTGTGAGGGATTCCTGTAAACAGTCCCAGGGTGGTGTCAGTGGGTCCTAGGCCCGGCTGCCCATCCGAGGGCTGCAGGTTCACAGTCACACTCAATGCGCCTCAGAAGAGCTGGCCCGTGAGGACTGTGTGGAGGACAATTGTCCTCGGGCGCAGGGCTCAGAAGTGACTCCCTAACTGCAGGTTCTCTCTCCCCACAAGGGCCCTCTGTGGAGCGTAGCAGGGAGACAAACCGGCTGTGTTGGTGTGGCTTCTGCAGCAGCTTCCACTGCGGAGAGAACAGCAGGAGGGAATCCAGCCACCTCTGCCCCGGGCCGCCCAGGGTCCTTTTGTCATTACAGGCAATGCCCAGCACCTGGTGAGGGTGCCTGATGCCTAGAGACCTGGAATGACACCCGCACTGTGGTGCGCCCCCCCCCTTCTTTAATACCCTCTCAACTGGGGTACCACTGAAAGTCTCCTTCCACTTTAAGGGATGCCACCAGACCCATAGGAGGGAGGGGTGGGCAGGGTATCCCTGAGGGTGGATAACCTGTCCTTCGCTAGCGACCACTTCACTTGCTCACCCCATCTCCTGGGGGTGCCTTGTCTGGGGGCTGCCATCTCCAGGGATGCGGTTCGGCAGGCTTTCCACAGAACATAGGGTGCTTGAACCGCCCCCTTGGGTTGCTCACTCAGCACACGGGGACCCAAGTGCTCTCTGCCCCACCTGTCCTTCGCTAGCGACCACTTCACTTGCTCACCCCATCTCCTGGCGGTGCCTTGTCTGGGGGCTGCCATCTCCAGGGATGCGGTTCGGTAAGCTTTCCACAGAACATAGGGTGCTTGAACCGCCCCCTTGGGTTGCTCACTCAGCACACGGGGACCCAAGTGCTCTCTGCCCCCCCTGCCC